ATATATATATATATATATGACTTGGGTTAAAAAAGAAAGAATTATTGTCCAAAGGTGATGACAGATCATGTATGTGTCTATTACCAAAATATCTCATAAAGTGCTTGATGAGTTTTAATAAAACTTGCTGAAGGTATAGCCTAATCATCCTACATCCAGACTTCATTAGCTTTTAGAATTAGCCAGATTTTTAAAAAACTGCCACAGCCAATTGACTTAAAAAAAAAACCCATAAAAATTACAAAAAAGAAAAAAGAAAAGAAAGAAAAAAATCCTTTTCACTGGCTCTGACCTAAAATATCGGAGGCTGATCCCACATATTTTGAGCTCTAACAGATCGAGTAAGTTCTCTCTTTAAAACTTTTTAAATAATGTTTTTGACTCGTACCCCGTTCCTCGCACAGTGACTGCTGGATATGGGTAGAAGTGACCCCCATGACCCTAAAAGGAAGAAGCTACAAGATGATGGATGGATGGGTTTTGGACCTTTGAACTGTTAGCAATATCTTACAAACCACAGTACCAATTTTACTGAAACCTTTAGGAAACAATCATTGGCTGTACCTTTCCCAAATAGCAACATGTGTCTGGCCCAGTTCTGGCCCACACAATGCACTCAGCCCAGAATGACATCCCTTTGGTGGCCCAGATGTCAGAGATGGTCCATTCATGGGCCAGCACCACATAAACCAAACCACAACTGGGCCATTTGTTGCCTGCCATCATACAAACAGTGCCATCATTGCCAGACCTGGCCCACATCTGGTTGACAAAGCACTTTTCAAGCCATCGGTCAGCCTGAAACCAAATCCGACCCACACTTGCCTGCTTATGTGGTTTACAAGTGATTGAAGCTATTCCAATTCAAGATGTCCACCAACTAATCTCAGAAGACAGAACTGAAACTCAGTTTTGCAGATATTGAGCTAAGTTTCGATGTGGTGGTAGCTAAGAGTCATTCACAATATATACTCTAAGCATCAATGTGACATCATGCAATAAACCTCAATAATTCACAAGATTGCTACTTTTATTGTTTGACTAAAATGGATTCAATTTATGCCTCAACTTTAGATGATCTCCGGTACAAAAAGCAGTTAGTGATATGCATTCCTTTAAATAAAGCATGGCCTGTGGTATTTATGATTCAGACTTGTTTCTTTTTTGTATAGTGTCCCGAGATAACATTCGTTCAGAATTATTGCTATATGTGTGAATAAACAGAATTAAAACTTAGGTAGCCTGTTAGATTATTAAATCATGTAAATGTTTAAGCTAGCAAAATGGAGGCAATTTTGAAATCACTGAACATCTCCACATTTATATAAACTGATTTAGTGAAAATGAACATGACACCAAACTTTAGAAACAGAAACACCCACAAACTGAACACATTTTAATCACTGCACATAAACCTAAGGTGTGAACTCAATGAATTGACAGAGGTGGGCATAAAAAGTAAGATTTATTCTACCCTCTACTGGCAGAAGATACACATTTTTTTCTCCACAAAATGAAAATTTATTTCTGTAAAATTGAAATCAGTTTAGTATTTCAAAAAGCTGTGTGGTATTAATTATTCTGAAGAGAACTTGAATAAAAGAAACTGTTCAAAGATAGTTTTTTTTATCTGAACCAAGCAAGATAACAATGTTAAAGCATAAACTGCACCAACTTCAAATATAAAAAAGGTAAATATATACAAGTACATACAGTATGTACAGCCAAAAATGTCTCCTCTGGTACATATACAGGACCACAGATTATTTTCTGGACAGTGCTGTTGAGCTTTGTTTTATTTTACATATGGAAAATGTTTTAGAGATGTAACAAGGCTGAATAAAGCACAACCAGTGTCACACCAAAGTTTTTAATAAAGTAGAAGCCTTCATCATTTAACTATTCTTTACCACCTCCCTCTTTGAAATGGTGGGTATCTAAATCCTGGCCTCGCAGTTCCAAAATGCCCCCTCTCACTTCCATCCAAAATCTCAGGTCTCGTTGGTGGAAATCGTTGAAAAGGAGGACCACGAGGTGGGAAGTGCATGGACATTCTGAATCTCTCAGGTGGAAACATCGGTCCTCCTCGCATCATTTGTGCAGGCATGTGTTGCATGTTCTGAGGCGAGGGGAAGGGACGCATGTGAGGATTTGGCATTCCGAGGGGAGGCTGTAGAGGTGACATGCCTGGTCTGGGGGGTCGTCCCTGCATAACTGCAGGGTTTGGCATAGCCATCATCTGTGCTGTTGGAGACCCCAGCTGGTTGCCAGTGCTCATAGCAGAGGATGGTTCATTGTCTCCTGTGGAATTTTCTGTGGAATCCTCTGGAGCTTTGACATTTCCTGCTGTATAAGCAGATATAATGAGATTTTATGGATTTATGAGTGGAATATTTATGCAAAACAACAAGACAAGCAAAATCAAAAGTCACAATGTTTTAGCTAAATTCTTATTTTTGAAATATGTGCAGTTTGTTCTGCTGGAATGGACCCCAGACAGGTTCTGGATAACTTACCTACTGATAGGTTTACAGCAGCAAATTCTGCAGGAATGAAAGGAGCTCCTGCTGGAGGCATGGATGTCGGAGAAAGCATGATGGGGCTCTGAAAGGCAGGTGGACTTCCAATAGGTTCCGCCTGTTGACCTGTTGTCATCTGGAAGACAAATCAACACAACTTTGGTCAATATTTAAATTAAATAGACAATATATCTTCCGTGAGATGCACTGCGAGTTGAACTATGATCACTTTTCTTATTTCATATTGTGACAAAGCTTCTGAAAAATAAAGAGCACATTAGCTACATTTATAAGTAGGCTGCTGAAAATACAAAAGTCAGTTAAAAGGTGAAAGAAGATGCAAGTAGCCGGTTCAAAAACAAGGCTTGGATAAATAATTCTCCATTAACTGTTTTGTCTCTTCCATGAAGGCACATCTCAAAGTAGAACTATTTCAGCTGAAAATGTAGCATTAGTGAATAAAGTAGTTAATATACACATGTATAACCCTAACCTATGGAAAGAGTACAATATTTTAATGGAAAACAAACCTGAAGACAACTTAAGTACTGCCTGTTTGTGGTTGTTCATTTCCACATTACACCCACCACCACAAACACACACCTTGATGAAAGTTTTTTTGTTGCAGAAACATTAAAAGCATGCTTGTGATTTTCCAAAGGGAAAAAAATAGGATTTTTAAAGTACATAACTTTTTATTTATTTTTACAATGCCATACTCTAAACACACTCAAAGAAAGAAAGAATTAACTATATACAATAAAAAAAAGAAAATACACAAATCAAAAATCAAAATAAAATAAGAATAAATCTTATGTCTGCCCCTTTTATCCCCAGAATATATTCAAACAAAACATAATTTACAAAACAATACAAATAAAAACATCAACAATTCACATAGCTTCACATTTTACTTTTCCATATACCTTCAGAAAACGAGCTTTTATCTGTCTCATATATACATAGATCTAGCATTTTAAAGATAATCTTCCAGACCATTCCACAATCCTATACTCTGGATTAAAGTACATCTTTCTCTCAAGCAAGTACGAAAATACGGTTTCACAAACACTTCCATCCCCTTAAGATAATAACAGCTGTCTCTCTTAACAAAATTTGCCTGAATGTTGGAAGGTAATGCGTTTCTGTGAGCCTTGTACATTAAACAGTAAAATATTATAGTCAACCAAATCACAGAATTTCAAATTTTTTCAGTTTGCAAAATAATGTATTTGATGGCTGTACCGGTAATCTTTTCTAGCGATAATTCTTGTGGCTCTTTTCTGTAAAACAAAAATTGGATTTGTAATTGTTTTGCAAGCTTTACACCAGACTTTTATACAGTAAATTAAATGTGAATTATTGAATTGTACAACACAAGCAGAGCTTTGTCATTAAATAACTCCCTGACTTTATACAGTACTCCAATAGATTTAGATATTTTCGTTCTTAAATAATGCATGTGAGGTCTCCATGTCAGCCTGTCAAAGGTAGATAGATAGATAGATAGATAGATAGATAGATAGATAGATAGATAGATAGATAGATAGATAGATAGATAGATAGATAGATAGATAG